ACTCAATGAAACACGGGTGAATGTTTTAATTTCCAATTCAGCAATTCATAAATGAAAGATAAACAAATCTTTAAATAAACCACTGGATGTTGGCTCTGGGACACCAATTTGTTTTCAAAGCACTTATAAGTCCTGATTGCTACACTGATGCCACACATACATACACACACACACACACACACACACACATGCTCACTCATGCTCACAGAGGGATGAGTCCACACAAAGACTTGTCTTCATCATTCAGATGATTCATGCGCTGCCGCAGTGGAACTGTGCTTTTATTGTCTTGGCTGATCAACTTGACGGACAGTAATGAAATGAATGACAGTGTATTTCCCAGCATAGTGTGCAACCTCCACACAGAGCAACCCAGAGTCCCTGTCCATCGGAGGTGTAGGGTAGGAATTCATTATCAACAAATTAATCAGTCTTAAAAGTCTCACACAAAACTTATCAGGCCTGTGGTCCATCTGCAGTTAAAGATCTGCTTCCTAAATGATGCGTCGCTGCATTGTGCCTCTCACAGCCCCTGACACATGGTCTCTAAACTGCACTCAATCTTGCTTTGTGCTTTTTAGGATTCTCTTCATAATCCCCATGATATACTGTATCTTACTTGACATTCTCTCATTGTTGCACTAAAGTTGTCAAGGCTAAGGACCCTCATATCTTGCCCCACCACTCAGAGACTCAGCTGAGTTTTCACATCTAGCTGACTATGGCATCCAGGTGGCCCAGTGGTGTGAGACTAGGGCTGCAACTAATGTTCAATATTGATTCATCTGTGAACCCAAAGCTAAACGATGCAGTTCAAATCGGACAATGCAGTCTTCATTGCATTTATCTCTTTCCTTATGTCATGTCACTCTTTACAGTGATGTAATAATTCAATGAAGCAAGATAATAACAAAGTGAATCTTGTTTCCTAAAAAGGCAACATGTGGAGAAACTAGACCTGCATTCTTATGATCTCTCTGCATGTTTTTTTTTTGCAAATACAATTAATGGTCGAGTGTTAACATTGTGCCTTTGAGAAGTGTTATGATTGCTCTTCTCCTGTAATGAATAAAAACTTGGCTGAGAGAGAGAGAACAGCTGTAAAGCGATGAAGAATGGCTGTAGCTGCTATGGATTTTTCAAACCATCAGGGTTGACTCTCCTGACATTTAGGCTAACATACAGAGACAGTGAGCAAACACAATTCCTCACTGTAGCACCAGTGCAGAAAATGACAAAATGAGCACAAACTCTTTCTTTGAGGAGGACATCGACCACTGGCCAAACCTGCGCCGACCACTAGGTTATACTTTCTTAAGAAAGTGGAAGGGTTGGATGTGAATAACGTGGTTGTGGAATAATCACACACCGAACCTAGATCCAAAATCACGATTGTAGTGACTCTTTACTATAATTGAAAAAGCATCTTACAACTGTTAGTTATTTTCTCTACATCTCAGTCATAATTCTTGAACACATTTGACATATTTGTAAATATCCAGTAAACTCAGAGCTTCTCTTGATGCTACTTAAAGCTATTTGACTTCATTGTAATATTACTGGGGAGACAGAGACACTCTCTGGTCTGTTTCTGACATTGCAGACAGATTGGGCTTAAAAAGAATCAGTGAATATCACATTTATATACTTTATTTTCTAATAAAATGTAAAATTTTGTTCCTTTAGCCAACATGTCTTAACATTTCAATAAGGGCAGCGACTGACATACACTTTAGTATCCAATTACAGTGTTCAGTGTATATATTTATATCATATTTTAGCCCAATTATTATCATTACTACTGCTGCAATTGTAAGAAAATAGAAAAATACAGAATATATTCCATCAGATTACATCCCACTTTATTTAACAATTAAGTGATACTGGGTTCTTGAGTGGAAATCATACCAATTTAAAGGCTGCGCTCTGAAAGCTCTCTCCAACTACACAGTGGATAAATATCAACATCTGTGTCATCAGAGGAAGCAGGGGAGTGAGAGGACAGATAGAAATGAACAGATAAAGACAGAGAGAGAGGGGAGGGTTGGGGGCAGAGACACAGAGTAAACAAGGCCATCAGGGAAATAAGTCCAGTCATTTCCATGTGTGCTCCTCTGAGCTGGGGGTTTAACAAGCTGTGCATAAAGACAAGCCTGTGTGGGTGGAGTTCCTCTTAATCATAGCTATGAATGTTCAGCAGGCAACCTACCGGGAGGAGAAACTTGATAATTGAGATCTTGATCCTCCAGAGGTGTCTGCTATAACTTCAAGCTCTCCATTTCTTTTTTCAGATGTTTTATTAGCTCATGCAGGCCACACTTGAGGGCACAATTTAATGAGGTTTGTGCATTGTTGATATTTTTGGGCTCCACCAGCCATGCAGCATTCAGTGGCAAGAAGAAGTATGTGAACCCTTTAAAAATGACCTGTTTTCTGCTTTAACTGGTCATAAAATGTGATTTTATTCTTATCTAATCCACAAATGGTGACAGTGTCCCAGAGCTGATATCACACAAACAATTTTAAGCTTTTGTGTCTTTTTTGAAAACATCCATTAAACATTCACAGTGCTAGTGGAAAAAGTAAGTGAACCCTTGGATTTAATAACTGATCAAACTTACTTTGGCAGCAATAACCTCCAACAAGCTCTTCCAGCAGCTGCTGATCAGACCTGCACAATGTTCAGGAGGAATTTTGGACCATTCTTCTTACAGAGCTGCTTTACCTAGCTTCTAATGAGCAGCCACCCTGACATTATCCTGTAAGAGACTTTGATAAACTTAGGAATTCCTTTTCCCCTCGATAATGTCGAGCTGTCCAGGTGCAGAGGCAGCAATGCCTTAAATCATGATGCTCCCTCCACCTTACATTTGGAATAATGCTTCTTGTGAACAATAAACTCAAAATGTTTAATAGTTTTTGTTTTTCTCAGCCAAGTAGCTCTAACACACACCTTCAATCTGGTTTCAGTGGCTGGACACCAGGTTTGATAACTCCTGACTCCAGTTAGCTTTTGTCAAAGCCATTAGCCGAGGGGTTCTCACAGTTTCCAACCTAACTGTGAATGTTTGAATGTTTTCAATATGGACAAGATACAATACAATAATTTGTGTGTTATTAGTTAAAATTGATTGTGCTTGTTCATAATTGTATGATGGATGAAGATCTTACCACGTTTAGAAAATAAAATGTATATAATAATAAATTTATACATAATTCCCAGGGGTTCGCTTACTTTTTCATGCCACTGCATACAGAGAATTATCTGACAATGGAGTAGAGATATTCAGAGAGCACAGTGTACAATTCCCCCACAATTATTTATTCTTTTATTTGTAAGAAGAACTTTAAGGTCACTAAGCATTACTTTGATCCATGGATTGATTTGCTGAATTGCTGCAACATCACTTTCCAACTAAAATAAACATATTTCTCACTACAAGTCTGTGTTTCTGCCTGATTTGGTTATCATATTTTCAGTTGTCAGACACAAATTTGGAAATTATATGCTTCTTCCAAGGCATTGACTCAGTGGATTCTCTATCAGAGAAAAAAATGTTACTGTGTTATTTGTTGTTCTATGGCTGGTGCAAATTGTTGGTGTATAAAATGAAAGATGTGCTTTTTATTCTGACAACAGTCTAAAATCAAAAAATATTCCATTCGATGAACAAAACCAGGAAATATTAACAATTGAGAAGCTGGAAACAGCAGATTTTTTTTTATGATTAAAAATGATCAACTGATGATCAGAATAGTATAGTGGTCAATCAATTTTGTGTTAATCAACTTACTGATTATTTCAGCTGTAATACACTGAGCATTAGCGGTTCACTGAGAATCACAAGCCTGGATAAATTTATATCTAATGTGTACACAGGAAGTAATTTTTCTCCCTTTGTATCACAAGTTTACCATTAAATGTGACTTTGATATCAACTCATCACTTTATCTGAGCCATGTGAGGACTCATGAAGATTTTGTCAAGGGGGTGAATAATTAGTCCCAATGAGAATGTGTGAGAAAACCTTCGGGAAATGTGTTGAGCAGTTTAGTTTAATAAACGACTTGTCTTAGGACAAACACTTACATGTAATCTTCACATTTGTTTTAGCGTGGATGGCAATGAATTATAATTACACAGTAAAATGACTGTAGTTTGAAATCACAAACAAAAGTTGACTTTTCATTTTGATCCTACGTGTCACTCTCCAGCTCAAGAATTCAGTTTTAGTTTCATGAAAAAACACTAGATTCGTCTGCCCCCCCTTTCAGCCTGTCATGAGGTGGTTTTGCATGAGGTGCTTGTGACCACTCAGCTGCGAAAATTTCAAAAGAAGTTCACTGACTGTTGTCTCTCTAGAAAGACTGTCCACCACAAACCAAAGCCTCCATCTCACCCACAACTGCACAAATGACCAAGTCTAGAAAGCGCATGTGTAATTTCAGATTTATTTTAGACTACGTCTCTACAACTTCATTTGCCAAATCACATATAATTAAACAATGTGGTGACAGTTTAAGATGAGATACCTTAACTTAAGAGATCTGGATGTATGTAAGTTATGGTTGTGACTAAATATTAATTGGTTCAAACGTTTTTAGCCTTTCTCCAAATGAATTAAACAGTGACAAGGGTTCTAATTTAATCAACGTTAACTTGATTTGAAGTCTTAACACCACACAATGTTTAACAAGGTTGAGCAGGTCGGATACTTCTGACACTTTCACTTTAAAGCAACACAGTCACCAAGCAGAGAGCACTGCTGTGTCAAAGACAGGACTTTGGTTAATTTCATTCAAACCTTTAGGGTAGACAAATATGCAACAGGGTCACAAATGAAATGAGTTCTTGGGCAGAATGTTGCAGACTGTTAAATTTGATAGAAGTTAAAATGCAACATAGCTGTTTTGTTTCTCATGTATTTACTTGAGCTTGATCAACCAAGTAAAATAAACAAAAAAAACCCCATTAACATTAAATAAGGAGCCAATTAAAATACATCAGAAATTATGTGCATTTATTTAATCTTCTTTGTTGTCTTTGTGAATTTATTTTCCAAAACTTAACGCATACACACAACATCTGTGTAAACAAAAGCCAGAAACTACAAACCTAAGCTGTTCATGTTGACGCTTTGTTTGGCAAATGTGTCCTGTGGATGTGACGCGAGAGCTGCATGAAAAAAAGTCCATGCTGGGGCAGCTGTCAATGTCTGTTTCACTGCTCAACTTTCATCTGCCTCCAAGTTAATATTGTTACCAAACTTGGCGTAGAGCTGGACCTTCAGATCCCCCAACACTTGCTGTATCGCTGACACTTGCTCCTCAAGGCCTTTGACCTCCTGCTCCAGTGCTTCCTGTTTACAGAACATGGAAACTCTGATTATACGACAGCCACTGCAAATTCCCCACAGAAGGCAACTAAAATACAGGGTTAAGACATTTACATAAACTGGTTTTAATAGATGACTTTTAGTAGTTGTGTCATCAAAAACACATTCTAAAGTCGAGAGAAAACTTTTATGATGAAAGAAAAAAAGTTAAAATGACTATGTATAGAAATGTGCATGATTATAATCAGCAGATATAATGAGTGAGCTGTTTTCAACACACTTGCCATTCACTGTGTGTAGCAGACAACCTTACGTCAATCAAGCACAGGCTTGTGCAGTGTGTTTTTGTTGTGTGATCAAGGTGTAAACACAAGGACTAACAGAGATGTGCTGCGGTGACAGAAGGGAGGACTAGGTCTAATCTAAAATACATCTTGTTCAATGTGCGCCGTCTCTATATCTATTTAACATCTGTGGAGCACTGACACTGACACTGCCCAGCTCTTCTCCCACAGGTGCAGCGAGGAGGATCTCAAGCGCCCCTCTATGGAAACGACCATCTGTCCTAAACAATGTCTTCTGACAACGAGGCCCAAGCCTGAGCCGACAATCTGCAGTTTGTTGTTCTAGTTAATCTCTACCTCACGTACACTTAAAGGAAAAGTTCTGCATTTTGTGAAATGCACTTATTTGCTTTCTTGTCAGGAGTTAGACGAGAAGATCGTTACCACTCGGATGTCTGAAGTCTAGTTGCGTAACTGTGAGGATGCCAGAAAGCAAATAAGAAATTTTCACAAAATGTTGAAGCTTTAAACCTATTTATGGGCACATACACAGTATGTACATATTCTGCTTCCATCAGTAAATATTATCTGATAAATGTTCCCCCTTCTTTCTCCTCTCTCCCCCATTTCTCTCATTTCAACCTAACAAGCCCGGTTCTGTTGGAGGTTTCTTCCAGTTAAAGGGAGTTTTTCTTCTCTACTTTCACCAAGTGCTGTTCAGTGTGGGAGCTGTTTGGTTTCTCTCTCCTTAATCTGTGAAAGTGCCCTGAGATAATTTATGTTGTGATTTGGCACTATACAAATAGAAACGAACTGAATTGAAATATTGCACAATTGCAAATCTGGAAATATTGGAACATCTTAACCTCTGTGATTTCTGTCTGCTTAAGACTCTACAACTGTTGAACTCTCCCTTTAAATTTTACATCTGTACTTGATACAGAGCCAACCTGGACTCACAATCCAAAAAACATTTTATGATCTTATGTATTTATTGGTCTAAACAGCAATCTCCAAATGCGAATATATTTTGTAAAACACTTTTGATTGAAAATGTGTTTTTCACTTTGGCAACAAGTTGTTATAATCTACAAAGTCTATTACAAGTTTGGATATTGTGTTAACCATTTTTAATTCAACAGATCACAATTTCCTGCAGGGAAATCATCATAAATAATGTAGTATTAAGTCTAAATGAATGAGCATTGAGCTGTATCTGTCCCTGCAATGAAAGTAATTATCAACTATATTTCAGCCAAATTTGTCAGTGAAAGATTCTAGTTGGGTTTGGAGTGTTGTGCATACCTTACTTATTTTATTTCAGAATTTCTTTTGGAAGACTATGACAGCTCTCTCCATGAGAGCACAAGTGGAAAAGCACAGCAAAAATAAATTTTAATATAGTGTGTGAACAGACGCGTGAAGCATGTGAAACCGCCTTTTCTTTCAGAGCCTTTTGTGGCTGCAAAGTCCTTCACATAACACGCAACTGTAACTCTATTGACCAAAATTATTATTTTCAATGCAATCGAGTTTTTCAGCTTAAAAACAGCACATTGATTTCAAAAATATTCGGTTGCAAGAAAATTACATGAACACCTCACTCACAGTGAGACATGACATAAGATTTTGTTTGCTGTTGTACAACCTAGACCCTCTTGTAATGTGTGTAATCAACAGCTACTCACTGATTTAAAATAGTTTATACTCTTTTGTATCCTACACCAGTCAGGAATCTATGCAAAATAACCTCAATATAACTTATTAGAAAACATGTAGTGTGGTTCCTTTTCAGTCCAACTTGGTCATGAAAAGAGCTTTCTTGTTATTTTTTATTTAGTACAACTTATTGTAAACAATGTATTTGTTTAAATAAAAAGCTTTGATGTTTCATTTGCTTAAATTGATCATGATCTCATGTTGCTTCAAAGCAATTACATTAAAGATGATTCACATTAAGATAATGTTAGTACCAAATAAACAAACCACAAACTTCCGTTGCCAGGATGCAGACAAAACACAGCTTGTGATCTGAGGCTAACTGCTCATCAAATGAGTTTTTATGTCAATCATTATATGTTAAATTTCCCTCACAGTCCTTTAACTTGATGACTTTGTCTTAATGTGGGCATTTAACTGATGATTACAAGTCTGAAGAGCATGAAAAAAACATTTAAAAAACCCACCTTAGCAGCCTCCAGCATCTCTTGTGTTTCTTCCTGGGTGTGACTGATAAAGACGTCACCAATTTGATAAGGGATCAATAAAGCATCGTCGTCTAACATCATCAGGTCATCACTGGCATCCTGTAAGTCCTGCAGCGATTTCTGCATGGAGACATTAGCAGACCTATTACAGAGTCTCAATGAACAAATTAGTACTAGTAATGTAGCAGATGCAGTGCTCTGCAGACCACACGTAACTGTGACTCATCTGAACAAACTGTGTTACAAAGGAAGTGTTGATTTAACCTTATGGTCACTTTGGAGGCTGTAATTTGCAATACTGATGAATTATATTGTTGTACTCTGAGAGGTGTTTCCAGTATTTTGTACTCCCAATTTATATCAGTGAGGGAAGACTGAATATTAGAAAAACCTTTCAGTAATGCAATTAAGTTCAACAGTGCCACAATTACACAAAAAGAAAATAACAAAAATAACCATTAAGTTGAATCAATGCCTCTCTTTAACAGTTTCAGCAAACACTAAACATTGTAACCCTTATGGAAAATAATACCTGTGCTTCAGACAAAGTTATTCCGACCTATGTGAACCAAAATAAACAGGCAACTGAAGTGCATTATCCAATATCAATCTGTTAAACAGTCACAGAATTGTATGAGAGGTATCAGGTCTAAACAAATTATAATGCCCAAAGCCCATTAGGATTATCAAAGTCTGACTTCTGTAAACTCGGCTGACCACACAGTGAAACCTGACTCTGGGATATTACTGCATTCACAACAAATGGTGCTTACTTTCTTTGCGTCTATTTCACTTTTGAGTTCTGTCATCCGACTTGTGTTCCTGGCAAATTTATTGATCTTCTGCTGGTCCTCAAAAGTGACATTTACATCTTCAACCGCCTGCAAACAAGAGGAAATTAGCTGTGGTGGGTAATAGAATGCAGGAAAAATAGCTTCTGTTGTGTTACATTATTATACCATGGACTTATCATTACGAACACATTCACATTCAGTATATATGCATTGTAGTTGGCTCCAGTGAAGCTAATTTTACCCATTTTAGATAGATGGTTGTACAGCAATACATCATATTTTATATTCTCATAAGAGGTTTTTGAATCTTTAATCTGTTAAGTAATTAGAAACTGTAGCTATTAAATACATGTGGAGTAAAAAGTACAATATTTCCTCTAAAATGTGGTAAGATGTGACTGCCAAATTGCTTGAAATCAAGTCATCTCAGTGTGTGGGGGTGAAGTTTGATTTTTGCATGAAATCAAATTTAGATTTTCTTAATAATTTCACTTTGAGCACATAAACCATTCCAAAAACATCTCTCAAATGTCATACAAAGCAAAAAAATACATTGAGGAGTATCTTGACTGAATTCTGTGGTATGCTTTGGTGACTTTGTATTATTGGACAGCATTGTACTGAGAAGTGTTCATAATATTTTGTTCACCACGTACTGTGTATGTGGCAGAAAAACTGACAGAAAAACATGATGCAACCCAATACAAAAACACATGTATTTATTTGTGATGAGACTATTCAATCAACTAATCATTTGTGCTCTAGCTACATGTCTATTCTGTTGGGTAGTTTAAATCTTAACAAAGCATTGTATTTCACATGTTTTGTATGCAAAAATGTTGATTCGCAAAGAAACAAGTAATTTAAGTTGTTTAACATATGTAGTGTAGTAAATAGGACAATATCTCCCTCTGAAAGGCAGTGGAGTAGAAGTATAAAGGGCCATAAGATGGAAATTGTCGACCAAAGTACATATAAATAAAATTTGTACTTAAGTCCAGTGAGTAAATCTTATCAGTGATTTTCAACCTCAGGAAATGAATTAAATGTATGGTTAACGTTCTTGTTATCCGGTTAAACTGAACATAGTAAACCTGTCATTCATTAAATATGAATGGTCAGTGTAGCTAACCTTAGCTAGCAAGTGGCTTCCTGTCACCGTTATCGAGTATCACTGCCCTCGTTTAGCAAGTTACCAATCGTTATTATTATTATTAGTCTACTTATCATTATCAATAGACTGATGAACTCTCAGTTAGGTCAGGCAGTAAAGAGTCAACAAATCGCAGGCTTAATCTAGACACTACATTAGCTATCAAGCTAACACATAACAGTAGCTGCTATCATTGAGCTGAGCTACACGAGGGTGTGACTGGGACGTTAAATATCACTGACGCCAGTTACTGTGGCTGTTTTTTTTCCCACATGCAGTTGTACACATCTTTATTTGCGACCCCAGACTTGAAAGCGACGAAATGCCCCGAACAAAAGATAGATTTTATTTTAAATATATATCTTTAACTTACTACAGGTCCCTTCACAGTGGCTGCCATCTTGGCTTCTTCGACTGCACAAAGACAGTTGGACTGAACACGACAATATAGCTGTACCGCCATCTAGCGGTATGAAAAATCTGGAGTGTTACAGTAAAATATGACAGTGAAATGCTTAATTTCGTCAGTTTTGTCCATTTAATTGCATATTCTTGTTGTCACTCGATCGCATAGCTGCTTTTCAAATAAACAAGGTTTAATATAGCATGGAAGTTGTCCCTTAACTCACAGCTGAACACCCATTGAGCTAAGACAATTTATCAATTGCACCATAGGTGACAATTCAGCCAGTTTAGTTTACTGTTATAATTAATTATCTAAAGAAATGTGCAACCTTGCTTAGAATATGTCAGACTAGTTATTATATCAACCGGAACTGCTGCTCTGTAAATATTTCTACAGCAAACAGTACTGCACCCAATTTCAAATATTTACTGAATACATCATCAAAGATAGGTAAGTGCTGTTACACAGTATCTGCTGTTGGGCAGTATAATGAGAAATCATACTGTGTTGACCTGAGTTCATATGTTGTTTCTTCCTACAAGTCTTAAAATCAATGGCCTTTTTGTGAAGGGTCGTGCCACTAATAAAACTAGTAGGCTGTTATGCGTTGGTACATCATGAAGAGTTTGCTTGACGTCTCTCAGCTGCAGGCCTTGCATGAAGTCAGAAGTGCACAATCCAAACAGGGGAATCCAACTCCCACCTCGATGTGCATAGCTATAGGCTACAATTGGGACATTGTGTTCAAGGATTCCAAGCCTTGCCATAATACATTCAATAAATACAGCAGGGGTAAAACACAGATAGGGCCACTTTGTGGTTTGGTTGATTTGCATAAACAGGCTTGGGTTCTTTTGAGGTTATAAGGAGTAAAACAAAATGAGTGTTAAGGAGCTTTGATCACTGCACATTTACTCAAAAAAGTAACAAACAAAACATAAAGATGAGAATAATAACAGAAGGAATAAATCAAATGACGGACCTCTGTCAGTTTGTCTTTGATAACTGAATGCCTCTGTGTGGGTCTGTGTGTATTGATACATTGACAGGCCTTCAAAGGCATTTAAATGTGACCATGTGGAGGCATTTGAAGATAGATGATTTCATTACAGCACTCTCTGTCTGTCTTGATTAACTGCGATAATAAAGCAGATGCTTGCTCCTTGCAACTCAAAAAAGTGTTTTTATCAAATAATATCAAAGTAATACAGTGGATATTTTGAGGCACATGTCACTTTGATTCAATTTTCTATTGCTTTCTTTCAACAAACTCTGAATCTGAATCTTAAAACAACTGCGAGTGTAATGACCTAAATGATAAAAATGCTTAAAAGTTTTCTTTTCAAAACTACAATGACCAAATTTAAGGGACAGGGTTACAAGTACAAACACTTATTTTTGTTTTGGCAGTGTGGAAGTGTGTCAGCCCAATATCCTTAATACACATCCTGTTACTTCCCAGCTACATCTGTAAACAAAAGTGTGATGCCCTACTTTATCATAGTGTCCTTGATTGGAGTGTAACCACATTATAACTGTCAGGTGAATTTCAGAGACTTCACAGAGAGATTACTGTGAGCTAATCATGTGCTTTTACCAACAGTCTGTTGGGCGGATGGCGGGCTTTTCACTGGAGGAAATCCAATTGATTACTTAAAAACAGTCCCACCCATTTTAAAGCACACATATAATAGCCTGTTAACAACAGCCTATGTACATAGTTGGACAGGATCAGTGACTCCAGTGACACTTTCCATATTTTTTTTTCTTGAGGAGGATATTACCTGCTTGACTTGCAGAGGTGTAACAAGGTAAGACATAACCAACATGTGAAGAGAGAGCCATAGTCACATGTAAGTTAGTCGTTATTTGTTGTAAATCTTTGCTTGTCAGTGCAACATAACAAAACCGTGTTTCTGTTTTTGCAATTTGTTTAAGTTGAATTTGAGCTGAAAGCTGTAGGTCTGATCTGGGGAAAATATGGGAAACGAGCATTCCAAGAACAAAGAGATAACCAAGGTAAAGTGATGAATATTATACAACTAACCTGTAATGCTATAACTATAGTATCTATAGCTTTACTGTCTCTAAATCAGTGGCATGGCACACATGGAAAAAGTAAATGTTAGTTGCTTCTTGCATTGTTGAAACCCCAAGATTTCCAAAATGCTGGATCGTTCAGGTGTCTGTTTACAGTCAAAACCAATGCTTCTCTTGAAATTAAATCCCCCTTGTAGACAATACATTATTTTTGCTTTATTATTTTCTTCATAGAATGGGACAATTCATGACAAGCATGAAAATGGATCAGTGAATGGCCTCTCTGCTAACATCACATCTAATGGATTGGAGGTTGCTGGTGAGTGATATGTTTTTTCCCTTTTCTCATTAAGATAAATAACTGGAAAGTAATAAATCATAATGACTTATCTGTAAAATAACAGTGGTAATACATAAATGCAGTCACTAATTAAGTTGTATCTCTGTCTGAGAGAATGGGTTTTCACTCTCCTTTATTCTGTTTAATCGTATCTTATCTTTCTTGGGAAAATACTGTATATCAGTCTGCGACAGACAAATCAGCTGATTGTTCTATGTCCATGTTGGATTAGTCCTTTGGACTCTTATAATACTCTGTAAACACAGTAACTCCCAGTTGGACTGCATCTTGAGTTTTCCAATGTAAACTATAGGCGTAGTCTCAGACATTGACAGGGAGCCACTATTTGACCTGTCATGATGTGGTTTGTGTCCCTGCAGTGACAATAATACTAATACTGATTCTCACTGGCGCCTGAGTTTGTCTAAGAGCTCATGTTGACGCTGGAGATAATCTAGCCTTCTTCAATTGACTAGCCCATGTTTACTTCATGGAGCATGGCACAAGTAGATATCATGCATGGGTTTAATGTTGAATGCAAAGAGCTTAACATCTAACAGCAATAACAACTGTGAACTAGTGCACAGGTCTCACGTACGTATGTTATTAAATAAAGTGAATTATTGCAGCACAAACTTAATATTACAGAAATCAAAACTTATCTTAAGTACCAATCAGTAACATTTTGATAATATAAAGAACATGTTTACATATACAATTTGATTTATAAATGAATTGTGTATTAAAAGAGTTGTCAGTCAGTTTGGTGACAGCAGGTCCAATCCTATATTTTGAAATTTGGTGCATGAACTAAACCTTTTGTTTATATTTTACTCACACCTTTTTCTTTTTTTGCAGTTAACGGGGAGACCATAGTCCACCAAAATGGCGAACCGTTCTCTTTAAACTTCGCCACAGAATCAACTGAGCCTGATTTTGTGATAGTTGAATCAGACTGTCAACCTGCTGAGGCCCAAGTTATTTTGGAACTCCCTGAACCCACCATCCAGAAGGAAGAGGTCAAGAAAAGTAAAGAAGAAAAAGTTCATCTTTTTGGCAAAATGTTCAAAAAGAAAGCAGAACCTCCAGCTGATGTCGAGAACATTCAAGAAAAAGAGACATCAAATGAAGATCAAAAGGCTGTAAGTCCTCTTGCCACTGATCCACAGCTGGTGAGTACACTTTTTGTGTTTATTTTTAAAGAATAAGTCCAGTGATTTTTCTCAATTTCTTTATTGTCAACAACTACCATGAAAAGACCAAAACCAACAAAGAACTGATTCTACTAACAAGTATTGCCTGTGTGGCCAAAGCCTGATACAGTATATCATCTTCCTCTTTACCATAGAGCTTCATTGTAGTCCATTTAAAACACATCAATGAGCCACATAATCACACTGGGTGACATACTCTTTTATTACAATGAACCCTGTAGTCTATTATGAGTCAATCCCACATACACTGTCCTGCTGCCTGAAATATTGACTTTAAACAAATGTACGTTAATCTGCAACTGAAAATAATCCCCAACCAATGCACAGTTTCCTCCCACTTGAGTAACTTTAGCTAAAAAATAGAGTTCCCAACTGTTTTATGAAATTATTAAGCCTTTAAAAGGCTGAAAATAAATTTAGCCTGTAAAAAATATAACTTTTTTATTTGTGACACATCTTTAAGAATTACATTTTCAGTAAATGCAAATGGGGCTCTGTCAGTGTATTTTTGCCATAAAATACTAAGAGAGGGACTAATAAATTCTTGGTTTTGGTCTTACCCTTTATTTTTTTTGCACTAATCTCTAAAACAATCTGCCTGTCAAAATGCTTGAAATCACTGAGAATTAGATTTTCTTAATAATTTCACTTTTAACAGTACATAAACCATTCCAAAACATATTGCAAAAGGAAAAAGAAATAATAATTTGTGTAATCTCAAAACACTGAGAGACCACAAAAATAAACACATCTGTAAAAGGTAATGTGCTGCCATACACTAGCCCTGCAATAGATACATTGAGGAGTATCTTGACTCAATTATGTGGTATATATGTGGTGGTTTTCTGTTGGACAGCATTATACTGAGAGGTGTTTATACTATTTCGTCCAATTCATTTAGGGAGAAGAAAAAATAAATGACACCTTACATTATAATGTAATCCAATACAACAACACCACATGCTACCACCTCCATAGAGTTTAATCAACATCTCTCTGAGACAGTCTAAACAATAAATGAAAATTTTTTTCTCAGTGTAGAGGGGTGTCTATTTTTGTCAATGTGATCAAGAACATTATTATATTTTGTCCCAGAGGCAAAAACCAAATGTATTTTATCTAAACATTAATATCGATTTTCATGATAAAGGATTTGAACTCAAGTGGAGAAGAGGCTGCCACCATGATCATCACTGAGAACCAACAGGATGTTGAATATCCACATCAAAAAGCTGAAAGAGCAACACAAACGGACACAAAATCTGAAACCGATATTTCAACGCAAACTGGTGATGATGACGATACAACTGTAAATTCTGAGGGCCCAGAGGAGGAAGTGGTCATAATAGAGTCAGCAAATACTGAAGAAGATGCACTGAATGAATCTGTTGTTGTAATTGCTGAGGAGGCTGTTGAAGAGACTGAAAATGAGGAACCTTTGGACAATCAGACAGCCGCGATCATCAGTGACGATATTGTCATCACAGAGAACAATGTGTATGAGAATATACTGTTCAGAGCGGAGCGGGTGGAAGTTACTGATGATTTTGAAATATGTCACTGCAATCCTGAGGAAGAGAGTATTACTGGACCTGAGGAAACTGAGCCAGAAATCCCTAAAGAGTCAGAAAATGAAATGATTGCGGAGGAAAATAAGAGCAATGAAACTGTGCCATTGGAGGTTTCTTCCAGCCTTCCTAAAGTGGTGGCAGATTGTGTTGAGGTGGTTTTCGCTGCTGCCTCTGAATCCTCTGACTACACTGCTGTAAACACGTCAGAGCCAAGAGTAGATGAAGTAATTACTGAAGACAACGGTGGAGGAGCTGGAGACATGTTAGCAGATGTAGTAGTGATTGAAACCGCTGAACCTGAGCCTAATGTTTTCACTCCTGAGGCTGGGGAAGAAAATGCTGTTCCCTCCCTAGACGAAGAGTCAGGAGAAGGAAATGGTGTTCCCTCCCTAGATGAAGAGTCAGGAGAAGGTAATGCTGTTTCCTCCCTAGACGAAGAGTCAGGAAAAGGAAATGGTGTTCCCTCCCTAGACGAAGAGGCAGGAGAAAGAAATGCTGTTCCCTCTCTAGATGAAGAGTCAGGAGAAGGAAATGCTGTTCCCTCCCTAGATGAAGAGTCAGGAGAAGGAAATGCTGTCCCCTCCCTAGATGAAGAGTCAGGAGAAGGAAATGGTGTTCCCTCCCTAGATGGAGAGTCAGGAGAAGGAAATACTGTTCCCTCCCTAGACGGAGAGTCAGGAGAAGGAAATGGTGTTCCCTCCCTAGATGAAGAGTCAGTGATTATGGTGATTGAAACAGTCTTTGAGATTTCTCATGAGGAGCCAAATCCAACACATGCAAACCAAGACATATCTGAAGAAGAACCTCCTGCGCTTCTCGAGACAGAGATTCTAATTAAGGAGGAATCTACTCATGAAGAGATCACCACTGATGATGCTGCTGCAGCTGGTGATGTACCAGAAATAAGTCAACAAGATGACCTCAGCCCTGTTACAGATGACAAGCCCTCAGAGAAGTGCGATAGCTGCCCTGAGGAAGAAATTATCATTGTGGAGATATCTTCCAGTGAGCTTATCACCACTGAGGAATCTCCTGAAGGTTCTCCTGATGGTGAAGTCAAGCCCAAGTCAATTCTTGAAATCACCACTACAAATGATAATGCTGAGATTGGTGAAGATGCAACATCTGATGAGGGAGCAGAAACAGTTGAAGAATCAAATTCAGGTCCTGCTGTTGTTAGTGAAGGTGATGAGGAGATACCAGAGGCAGCAATTCATGTTCTCTCTCAAGAATTTGAACTCAGTGCTACCATTCCTGAGGAGACTGCAGCAAATAATGGCAGCCCTCTGGTAGAAGAGGTTATTGCTGCAACAGTTTTTGTGCCCCTCTCTGGGGAACAGGAAGTAAGCCTTACCGTTCCAAAGGAGCCTATGGAAGAGACAATTATCCAAACCAAAGATGAGACAGTTGCTGAAGAGATGAATGAAGAAGCTATCGAAGCTTTATCAAAAGAATTTGAAGCAGTGCCCGAAAGTGTTGAGGAAGATATTGCTGTCCAAGAATCAGCCACTGAAGAAGTCCAAGAGGTTGACAATTTTGAAGAACCTGTAGTAGACATGGCAGAGGATAAAACTAAAGTATTTGAAGATGTTTTGGCACAAACTGAAAGTACTGAAGGACCCGAACTAATTCCCATAATCTCAGAGGAACCTGAATCATCCACTGAAGGAGAAGTCATAGAGGTTTCCATTTCAGAACAACCTGTAGAAGACAGTGACATTGTAGAGGGAAAAACTGAAGCATCTGAAGATGTTTTGGCACAAACTGAAAGCACTGAAACACCTGAACAAATTCCTATAATCTCAGAGGAACCTGAATCATCCAGTGAAGGAGAAGTCACAGAGGTTGCAATTTCTGAAGAACCCGTAGAAAACAGTGACATGGCAGAGGTAAAAACCGAAGCATCTGAAGATACTTTGGCACAAACTGAAACACCTGAACAAATCCCTCTAATCTCTGAGCAACCTGTAGAAGAAAATCCAAGCCCTTGTGAGGAAGATGCAATCACTGAGGTGTTGGAGAACACACTAGAATCAGTCATTGAAGCTATTTCAGAGAAGCTTGAAGTCATTGAAACACCTGAACAAATTCCTATAATCTCAGAGGAACCTGAATCATCCACTGAAGGAGAAGTCACAGAGGTTGCAATTTCTGAAGAACCTGTAGAAAACAGTGACATGGCAGAGGTAAAAACCGAAGCATCTGAAGATACTTTGGCACAAACTGAAACACCTGAACAAATCCTTCTAATCTCAGAGGAACCTGTAGAAGAAAATCCAAGCCCTTTTGAGGAAGATCCAATCGCTGAGGTTTTGGAGAACACACTAGAATCAGTCATTGAAGCTATTTCAGAGAAGCTTGAAGTCATTGAAACACCTGAACAAATTCCTATAATCTCAGAGGAACCTGAATCATCCACTGAAGGAGAAGTCACAGAGGTTGCAATTTCTGAAGAACCCGGAGAAAACAGTGACATGGCAGAGGTAAAAACTGAAGCATCTGAAGATACTTTGGCACAAACTGAAACACCTGAACAAATCCCTCTAATCTCTGAGCAACCTGTAGAAGAAAATCCAAGCCCTTGTGAGGGAGATGCAATCGCTGAGGTGTTGGAGAACACTCTAGAATCAGTCATTGAAGCTATTTCAGAGAAGCTTGAAGTCACTGAAACACCTGAACAAATCCCTCTAATCTCTGAGCAACCTGTAGAAGAAAATCCAAGCCCTTGTGAGGGAGATGCAATCGCTGAGGTGTTGGAGAACACTCTAGAATCAGTCATTGAAGCTATTTCAGAGAAGCTTGAAGTCATTGAAAGAATAGTTGAGGAAGCTAAAGATGAGCAAGTCAGTGTGCCACCAATGGAGGCCAAAGAAGAGTCTGAGCCTTGCATTTCAGTCCATGAGGAGGAGAACATTGCCCAAGCTGAAGCTCTTTTGGAAAATCCTGATAAAGATGCTCCACCTGTGGTTGATGTGGAAGTCTTGGAATCTATTGAACCAACTGCCAACAACCCTGATGATTCTGAAGAGCCTACGGAGGCGAGTGAGCAACAACCACAAACTGAAGTGCTGGTGATAATCCTCGAGACAACTGAAGATGAAGCTACTGAAGACATAATACATGAAACAGACAATTCTGGTGATGTTTCAGCAACGATTGAGCAAAACTCTGAAACTGAAACTTTAGATGAGCCAGTGGCAGAGTGTGTTGAGGCTGTTGTTGAGACTATTGTAGAAGGAATCATTGCAGAAGAAGCTGAATGTAACCATGTGACTTCAGAAGAGGTAGGACCAGAGATCATTGCCAAGGAAGAGACTGAGGAGACTGAGGAGACTGAAGAGATTGAGGAGACTGAGGAGACTGAAGAGAAAGCTGAGAATGAATTAAGTGTGAACACACCAGATTCAACAGTGGACTCACAAAGTGCTGAAATTAGTGAAGGTACCTCAGTCACCAGTACAGACATGGAAGCTTTACTTGATAGGTTGCAGTCAGCTTGTACATCAGTTGTTGAAGAATCAGCCTATATACTTGGTGGCTTAGAGACATCTTTACTGGGATACACTATTACATTTACCATCCATGTGGATCCAAAGACAGAGCAGCAATAAAATGTTGAAAGAATTATCTGAATGTTGTTTTTCTCTAGAAAAAAGATTGCTGTACCTCATTAGGATATCATGTGCTTTATAATATGTCACAGGAATTGCAACTGGGTTGTAAAATGATTTGTGTCTTATAATAATGCGAAGTGCCTCTATTTGTATATAGCATCAACAAAACATTCACATTGTAAAATACTCAAACATTTTCCAATAAAATGAAAAATGAAAACTAATTTTCATTCATGATTTTGTACCTAATTCATTTGCATTATCTTGTGTTTAATGACAAATGATACTTGCTCAAAATCAAAGGAAAAAGTAAAGTCAAATCAGAATACAGTAGATTCACTAAAAACTAATTTTAAAATCAGGTCAGTTTTATGTTTTAAAGATATGCACCATAAGGGCACAGCAAGGTATTTTAGTTTTCTGACATTTCTCAGGGCATAACTCTCACACATTGTTGAATATCAATGAGTGAGGGGTGGGACACACACATTAATAAAAGGGTGATTGTTGACAATGCCCCGAGTAGGCAGAGGCATGGTTGGAATTGTGCTCCCATCTCAATGCTGCGATTAAGACACTCACTGCTTGCATATCAGCTCCGCTCTGCTCTAACATAATTCTCAAAGGCTAATTCTTTGTGATGGTGTATAGGAGACAGCTACCCTAAAGCAAGAATCAGAATCATTAACGGAGCCAGAAAGTGTGACTCTAGACCCTGGTCCAGAGGAAGAAAAAGCTCCCGAAACTGACAACGGAGACAGTCAGCCTGTGGAAAACCAAGAGGAGAGTGACCCTGAAGAGAATCCAGTTATGAACTTCTTCAAAACACTAGTAAGTGACACAATTTGAGAAACCAACTGTGATTTATATGCTCTTGATATTTATAATTACTTCTCATGTTAAATTAGACTGCTTGGGGAAAATAAAATGAATTACTATTTTAAATAAATCAATTAAATCAAATCAATAATTATAAATAGAATTACTGTAGTCAAAGTGAAAAAACAAACCGAACCTTGCTGAAGGCAAACAGCTGAAACTGAAGTTAGCGTGTGCTCTAATTATTATTTAAAGCCACTGAAGCCAAGACATTTGGTCATTTGTCTGATAAAGAAGATATCAGTGATGAAAAAAATTAAACAGTGAAGGTTTTATGTTTAGTTTTGATTTGTCTGTAATTCCTCTGATTCCATGTCGAGGTATGTGAAAGGGGGGTTTTAAAGGTATCCATAACTAATTCTGCCATAATGACAGCGCCTTATGGAAAACCCACAACAAGCAGCTATTGTATTTCCTCTTCATCATGCTGTCTTTTGGATTCATGCCGTTTTAAAGAGTTACCATTGCCCTAGCCCCATGCTAATCAAGTCTTTGAACATGCGGGAATGTGGTGGCCTATTGTTCGGCCCATAGTGTGAGCTCACAAGGGAGGCCTGTGCGGTTGGAAGTTGAGATTTGTGAAGATAGAGCGAGGGCAGGCCTACGCCATCTCCGGAGCACAATAGCTGTCACAATGACAGCACATGTACTGTATGTGCTCTGCCAGGGACCTCAGAGTGCACTCTGTGTGCCTTAGTTAGCTTACCATAAAGGCCTATGTCTGCATTCATGAAAGGCTTCTGTTTCATCTAAATAATTATTTTTCTGTTCCTGTCACATAAACTACATCCTCTGTTTCTGAACATTTTACTCTGCAGCTACATTAAATAACATACTGCTCTATGATGCTTTCATATTTAACATTTGAAGGTTAAGCATTTTGGGGTTTTTTTCTTAATTTTTGTGTGGTATATGCCAAGAGTTATTGAAGACAGTCAATGTTCCTTCCCTTGTTGCACAGGTGACTTCCACTAAAACATCCAAAAAGGAAACAGCTACTCCTGATGCCACAAAAGAGCAGGTGAACTGATGTTCATAAAGCATTACACTACATAAAATTACATTAAAAAATTGAATTCCATTTTCAAAGCCATATCTGCGAATTCAATAATGTTTGGAAAATGCAGGTGCAATTTGCTGTAACTCGCATCCATATCTGTGAATTTCTGTTTCTGTTCTGTTTGTGACTTAAATTGAAGATATTCCAGATTTTTAAAAAAGTACATTCTATTTTCTAACCAGCATTTACAGGACATGTACACAAAGCTTTTTGCACATCTTTGTTTGCTTCAGTTTAACTTTACCTCTCTAACTGCTTCCTTTTTTTGTTGCCAAATAGTCCCAGAAGGAGACCCAACCAGCAGCAACCATTACTGTGAGCATATAGCCCATGAAGTGTTTTAATTTCTATGACAGATCCTGCAATTCATGAAAAAGGCATACATTTTCAATACATGGTTGCATTCAGTTCAACCATCAGTTCTAGAAAGGACATTTTCTTTACTTATTTTAATTTGAATTTTGATTGCATTTTACATACTAATTAAACTTTTAATAGTTGAAGTTGGAAGAAAATGTAATTGCTGATCAAATGTATTTACTGTTGGAGTGACAGTGTGGACAGTAACTTGTGGTTTTTCTTCAGCAAACCATTATTTCAACATCCTCTCTCCCTCTTGAATAGGCTGCACAAGTATCTGAACCGCCTGCAGCACTCAAAGGAATGTCTATCCCACCACCACCTCCTCCAGAGCCACCAAAAATGGAAGTCAAAGGAGAACCAGCTGCCAAACCTGTAAAACCCGCGCCAAAAGAAGAACCAAAAGCTGCTGCAAAGGAACCCGAGCCCTCAAAAGCAACATCAGCCAAAGATACTCTGAGCAAACTCTTCCGCCCAAAGGTAAATAAACAGCTCCAACTGGAGACGACAAGATAAGATGCTTATTTTAAGGGATGTGTATTCATGTAGACTTTCAGTGAGTGCATGTTCCACAGGGTGTCAGATTATAACATAGTGTGAAACATGATGTATGTGAATTTGAGGTACTGCTAGGTTTGAAGGCATCCAAAGGCAAGGGTGCCTCAGCAAGTGGAGCCAATGCCCAGGCCAAGACTGCAGCAGCGGTACAGTAGATTATCATATTCTCAAACTTACCATGGCTCATCCTGGTACTAACTGAACAAGAGCTGATTTGTCTGGAGGTGGCAGAAACTGAACAATTTGCTGTTTCTTAATTGTAACAGCAGTATCTGTTTCCTGTTTTGAAATTCATCCCAGGAGTACCAGGTTTTGTATTACTCTGTCACAAATGTGACTCCTCAGTTATACATGCAATAATGGTGACTTTGGTCAGAAGGTTTCACTGGAAAATAGTCTTAAAATTAGCACTGGTGTTTCTACCACAGTCCATTTTTCATGAAAAGGGCATGAGTGTTTCTTTAAATGAAAAAAAAAACTTTTTTGACGTTTTGGGACATGCACTTTTTTTTGTTTACTTGCCTAAAGTTTGATGAGCAGATCGATGCCACTCTCATGTCTGTGCACATTTTGGGCAATTAGTTTTGCTTAGCTTAGCACATATATACAAGCACAAACATACAAGCCTACAAGCACCTCTACAGCTCACTCACTCATGTTACATCTTGTTAAATTATAAGAGCTATTTGTAAGTTTTGCTATTGCTACATAGCTAACATTAGCATTAACAGCTGTTAACTTACCAGAAGAAACGTTGTGAATTTAGTGTCGAACTTAATTTCCTTACTCGCCAACAGCTGTCTCCAGCAGTGGAAATCAATGCTAATGTTAACTCTTGTCTCAATCACTTCTTTTCTTCTACTAAAGTTAGCATGCTAACCCCGGCCCCTCTCGTCACTTTCCGCTAGCGACTCACTGCTGCCTCCAATCTGCCCTGTAGACATAGCGCAACTCAGAGGGCATATTATAACCTCTCATATTATGAAGACAATTATGGCCAAAGCTCTTGTCAAACGACAATCACCATCACCTGCTCCTGGCAAAAAACCACGTTCAGGAAGCTGAGAAAACGAACAAATAGCCCCTTTAATCCATATTAATTTGACAGCGGCATCGATTTTCTCATTCAACTATGAATAAGTGATTAAGTGATTCCCAAAATATCAAACTGTTCCTTTGACCAGTTCATTTTAGTTGTCATACACTGCCATACTAACATATTAATCTTTCCATGCATTTTTGAGGTTCTGAGGACATTTGCTTTCTCTCTTGTTGACTTTTACTAACAATAAAAACTCCTCCACCTGTCCCGCAGACAATCAAGGACGAACCACAGCCACCAGTAGAAGTACAGGTAAACTAGAGTCTGCTCAGCCTCTTCAGTTGTATTCAGGGATTGTTATATTAATATATACTGGTGTGTTTGAATCAACCTGCAGGGGTTTCAAACCTCTCACTAGCACAATAGGTCTTGCTTTGAACTGAATTATCACAAGTATCTACAAAGCCTAAAGTCTGTGTTACATAACAGACGTGCTATATAGTAAATTACAGCATTTTGCATGCTTATTTAAATTAGCATCTGTTCAGAATAAACAAGCAGTTTCAATCTACAGGAGACACTAGTGGAGGTACCACAGTCAGTTGTAGAACTCCAGGTAAATCAAAGCAGAGTTGTCAACATTGGGGTTTTGTTGTTTTTAGGGAGTGGAATAATAATAAGCCTGATACTATGATTATATCACATCACCATGTTCTGAATTCAGTGGGTCTTTTTTTTATTTTTTTACATGTTCTGACTCATTTGCATTCACTCAGACTGAAAATAAGGTTGAACCTCAGGAGACAGCAGAGGAGGTGGCACAGCCAGTTGTAGAAGAGCAGGTAAATCAGCAAGAAGTGCTCGGGAATATTAATTCTTAATTTTTCTTCACTCTACAGGCACCTATGACATGATGTTGTTACAGATGTACTAAATATTATGTTGTACCAAAAGTACCTTTCATGCATTTCAGTAAAACCAAACAAACTTGACATTTGCAGTTGGAGAAAAAAATAAAATAAAATAAAGCAGTTTTTAATGGTTTGATTAATTAAATATTTCACATTGCACTCGACTGTGTTCCATCATGACAAATGAGTCAGGTCTTCATATAGTGTTTGAATTGATGGGAAAACAAATAACTTTTCCTTCCCTGCAGATGGTGGATGGAGCACCACAGCCAGTGGTAGAAGCTGAGGTAAATTAAAGGAGTTCAGCATTTTTGGGAAATATGCTTATATGCGTTCTTTTTTGTTTTTACACTTTGGTTTTGTATGAATTTAAACAAATGAAAACAAGTTAAGATTTTGTTACCAGAACCAGGCTAGCTGTTTGCCCCTTGCTTCCTGTCTTTATGCTAAGCTCAGTTAAGCTAAGCTAAGATAAACTAACCATCTCCTGGCTTTAGCTTTATATTTAATGGACAGATATGAGGTTGGTACCAATCTTCTTATCTTACTTTTTGCAAGAAAGCGAATAAGAGTATTTCCCAAAATGTCAAACTATTCCTTTAAAGAAAGACAATCTCAGAGTCTTTTTCCTTTTTTCTTTCACAGAAAATAACTTCTTTTTTGTTGTTGTGGATGATGGTGCAGGGGTTCTTTTTTTCTGCCTCCTCTCTTCTGTGATCTTGGATATTTTCCCCCTTTTTACCTCTTCTTTCACTTGCAGGTGGCAGATCTGTCAGCTTCAATGATGGTCATGCCTTTAATTTGTAAATAGCTCATGATATGTATTTTCCTCTCTGCCATTTTGATAAAAGAAAGTGGATCCCTCAAAAGCTGGCACCCTGGAGGCTGCCGCAAAGCCAGAGCCGCCACCGCCTGCTCAGGAGGAGAAGAAAACAGCCTCAAAATCTTCCTTCTTTTCTTTCTTCAAGCCTAAAGTAAGGACCTATTCACTTCATTTTTTATAAGCCTTTGAAATATCTGAACATCTCAGAGTATGCATTGTGCTGGAATTACTAAACAGAAAGTAACAGATTGATGTGAATTTGAGGTACTGTTAGACCACATGACCACAAAAGTCCAGGCAGCCTCCACAAGTGGAGTTCGGCTCCTCAGGAGATCGACTGGAGTGGTAAATACAGTAAAATTACCTCTGGAGAGCAGGTGCATTATTAACCAGAGTGATTTCATTAATTACATCTGGTATTAAAACCTATTTGTTTTTATATTTGAGAACCATAACAACACGCATCAGTGCTTCTGTGATCATCCCTCATAATGTTGCAACCAACTAAGACAGACTGGATCCTAACAGCAGATGTACATCTTAATGCCACTTCAAATGCCATCTCAGAGTCCATCTGCGCTTAATGACTGGAGCACATGAGATGTTGTTATTCTCTGTTGCTCCAGGACTGGAATAATTTAGCTTCTCAACACTTTCAGGCTGCTGAACCCAAAAAGGCGACCCCTGCCCCCGCTGCAGCAACAACAGCAGAGGCAGCTAAAACCAAGGAGGAACCTAAAGCAGCAGCCAAGTCGTCAGAGGTAGTTGTAGATAACAAACAAGCTTCAGCGGCCTCCCAAGCTGGAGACGATGCAGCCAATGTTCCCAAAAAACTGGAGAAGAGGAACTCCATCCATCTGTTCTTTAAAAATCTGGTAAGAATGGCATCACTTTTCCAACTGCCCACAACTCTTGAAACCCAGACAACACATATGCACATTAATGCAGTAGTGTTTATTGAGGTTTATTTTGAATGCTCCTGCATATACTGTACTGCACTATGTTGTCACTTCATGCCCACTAGATGGCAGCAGCATCGCACTGAGAAAATAAAGGTGTTGGTCTCATCATCGTGTTACACTTCCTGACAATTGTTTTGCACAGTTTGATATTAAGAAATTACGGTTAATAAATCTGACTTTGTCCTAAGTCCTAAGTGTAACATAATTCAGAGGACACACATTTAGTGCTGCATTGCAAGTGATGAAGTTTAATGAAAGGAGACAAATAAAATTTCTACTAAGTACAAATTTGGCTTGGATTTCATGGCACCATACAAGAGTAGTATGGTAAATATTGTAAATAAAAACAAAATCTCCCTTTAAATTTCAGGGTCAGAAACGTCATTCCACAGACGCGGGAGTCCAGACAGAGCCAGCTGCTGTCGCTCCAGCAGCAGAGAAAGCCAAATGAAACCAAAAGCAACACTAAAGTTTCCATGTACAGACTCCCTTTCTCTTACTCAATCTTTATCTCTCTCTCTCTCATCACCCCTTCGACACCCTTGAATTACTTTAACTACATTTATTTTATTTTTTTGTTTTTGTTACTGTTTAGAAGTTACAATATAAGAGGAAAGGTTACTGGATAAAATGATAAAAGCAAGTGAGAAAGAGCAGTGAGCAGGTAGATGAACTAGTGGTGATTGGAAATGGTGAAAGACTGACTTGATGGTGAGGCTGTTGAAATACATATACACACACACACACACGCACACACACATATATATATATATATATATATATATATATACACACATACACAGACACACACACACACACACACACACACATATATATATATATAATTTTGGTCATAAAAATGTCTTGACAAGTATCGCAATGCGAGTGTGAAACCTTTTCTACAGACATTTAATGTGACCTTTCTCTAATCGTGCAACCTAACACACTGGGCTTATGCAATATACAGTACCACACTTCGCTTTTAGCAATTAATTTGTCTGACAACACATTGTCACATAGGCTCTATTTTTACAGTTCATATCAGGAAAATCATGCAGTTGTGGCAATGCAGAGGTTAATATGAAACAATATTGACAAAAGTACTTAAATGTATAAGACATTAAAATAGACAGCTCCTACTAGTGCTGATGAAAGGAGCGTGTTCAAACTGCACTTACAGATTTTTTTTAACTTAATGTGAGCAATATGTAGACTATATGTACATGTAACAGTCATATATTGGGCCATTCAGGAAATCACAATCTTAAGTATTCTGTGGGGAACTGATTGTAAAGTATTCATGTTAACAAATACATCTGAGGTGGCAAAAAAAAGGTGTCATTTTTGTGCAAATGTGTCCTTTGTGGTATGTTTTGCAGTCGTAGCTTTTAATTTGATAGCAGCACTTTGTGTCAGGTCATTTAATTGACGTCTTACGGTGTTTGTCATTTGTGTTTGGCATGTGTGCAGATGATATCATGCTTGTGTTTGCCTATATGTACGCGTGTCTTGTGTAACTTCAGTTATCTTGAAGACATTAAATATGTTCACCATTTATTTTGTCCATTGTGTCCGTCAGTGTAAAACCACAGTGGAACTGAGACACTCAATCATGAAGAACTGGGCGTTGTAGTGACTGCGAAAAAGATGTGGCTCAGCAAGTTTGGCAAAAACTAAATATGACATTCTTTTACCACTGACAAATCATCAAGACAAATCATTTTCATGAACACTAATTAATGTACTAAACTTGAGCTAGTAAGGTGTGACACATGAGTCATACTTTGCTATGTCGGGTGTAGAGGCACATACTGTAAGCCTTACTCATCTATGTGTTGATTTGTAGAACTGACAGACAGGTGACAGTTATCTGACAGACACAGACACAAAAAAGAAAATGGACCATGTAACTCTGACAGACAGAGAGATGACGGCTGGATATCAATATTTAATACTAATTTACATTTTTAGAGTCGATAAGACACGCCTTACAGATTAAAAATGTAAAACAAGATCTAAGGAATTGTATATTTCAGGCTAAGGAAGCACCTCAAATCTTCTTTTACCTTTTATGGTGTAATTTCTATGATTGATGGCACAGTGTGCAGTCTTTGGAAGGATGTGTTTTAGATGGCAATGTCTGAGACCCACCATTCACCCGCCATTAAGTGATGAGTCTCAGCCCCCTCAAGGCATAACTCACACTGCTCCTTTGTTATCAATGAGACACACTCTTCTTGTATTACCGTCTATAATAGGTGTGATCATTTTAAATTGTGCATCAAAGTAATTGCCGTGGCACTGAAGGTGAAAAAGTGAGGTATTGCTTGCACAGTTAAGGCATGTGGTCGATTGTCTGTGCTTTTTTCCCCCCTGAGGATTGTTTCAAATTAAGATGCAGTGGGATTGTTGTTGCCGCAAGTGTTGCTGGTATGAGTGAAGAGCTCATGTTCATGATAAAACATAAAGAATGGAAACAGCTGATGGCAGAAGGCTGTGAAACTGGGAGCTTTTGAAATATCTATTCTTGTCAAATCAATTGGGATATTCTGTAAACATAATGTGCTCACACAATATTTCAACAAACCAAAAAGCATTACAAACATTTACCTACATTATCTTGAAATGAAAATCTTCATTGAACCCACACTGAACCTCACCACCAGTTTCTGATGTTTTCACTTACTTATACTGTTATTCAGAAATTTTATGTATCTGTGTGTCCTGACAGAAAACAGTGCAGACAAAGATAACAGCTGCATTTCCCTACATGCACTGTGCCAGAATTGTGAGCTTTTAAAGAGAAAGGCTTTTGTGTAAAATGATGAACGCAATCAAATTTCACGATGGCTGGTCAATCCATTCTGCACAATAATGAACCAAGAGGCTGTTTTAAAATGAAAACAGTTATAGGTATGGATTTAACTGTACACAGTGCACAGGATCTGCTCAACCACCATGTTGCTGTGGTTCATCCCAGGACAATGCATGTGACTGTGTGAATGCACTAAAGCTTGGAGGGGGTGGAACAAGTGAACAGTGGGCAGGGAGGCCTGACAGGAGGCCTGCTGTCAGGACTAATGTGCATCACGGCACCGCTCATTAGTAACAGGTCTGTTCTGCTTGATTCTGATCTGATAACAAATTAATAGAGGTGATCTAGCCTCTAAAGGACAAGTCTTATTCACTTTAACCAAGGGTGACTCATCGGGTCCTGCAGGCACAACATGCATGTTTATATGTGTTAGCTGTAGGCTTTCTAATGCAGATGCTCTCTAGTGATTTTCAGGGATGGTTTTTCAAGGGAGTTTTACATCCTGCCTGGGGGACAAAGCTCGTCCTACCTTTACTGTGCCATTCAAAATACTGAAACGTTTACTTGATATTTAAATCATTTAACCTCAACTGAAACATAATATGGTCGAGGGTGTGCTGAAAAAAAGATTTTTAAAGCAAATGTCTTTTTCTTTTTTTGTATTTGGTTAGTTTGGCCCCTGAAAAGTTTGCTGCAAGTAAAAAGAAGTAGAACAAATTGTACAACGGGATTAATCCAAGTACTGTTAAATATGAAAAAATATTCAACACTACGAACATAATGATGGCAAAGTATCTATTGACTATTTGCTCATTTGTTTCTTTTTGTATCATTTTCGTATTGATTATATTGTATTTGCCAAAAGTTTTGCTGCCTACTTATTTCAATTTACTTTATATTGTTTGTATCTTTTTTCTATCTATGTATAGTCATTGAAAAGTCTGGAAAAAAAAGTCTGAATAGGTTATACCTCAAAGCAGCATGACACCAGCAGCAGAACAAAGAGACTCCTCTTTTTCTCAATTTCTCCTCAGGAAAGAATCAAAAGTATTTCAAACATGTGCAGAGAAGATGCACCTAGGAATGCTTTCGGTGACTGATAAAAATTTCTCTGATGATCAGCAACACAACAGCTGGTTGCACTGAATAAACATTACCGGCGATGGGGTGAGAGAGGAGATTATATATTATCAGTGTCTTTCAGGAGCGACACCAGGATTATGAAAGAAGCCAGGCTGTGAATCTGGAGGAGAACAATGCAGTCAGCTGCTCCTGACACGTCAAGACAAAAACAAGCCAGCACAGCCTTTTCCCATCCGTTGATTCAGTTCCTATCAGGCTGTCTGTCTTTACTGAAAACATCATTATTCATTCAAGAATTTTTTTTTTTTTTTCAAAAAATGCTACTTTATCTCTAATTAGAATTTACTGCTTTGGGTTTAATGATGAATGCATACATATATGTTTTGTGAAGAAACAATCTGAGACAATGAGTTTGGAAGATTTTGGAAGAGAAATTACATTAGCATAAAGTCAAACAATAGGACAAAGTTAATTAAATCAGTTAAAAGTAAACAATGTTTGCCCACTTGTTTCTGTCATTGCCACTGCAGATGATGAATGCTAAAATAACTGCAATAGAATCTATGATAAAACTGTCATCAACTTAAAGAAATATTTATATAGTTTAAACACCATCTCCATCCACATTGAGAGATTTTTTTTATGATCAGCTCAACATCTCTGGGCAATTTCATCATCCAGAGGCATCATACCGCTGCTCCAGATTGATAGCCTTTCACACAGCCTTTGTGGTCACAGAACAATGGGAAATGAGCGGGAGGCCTCGATGTGTCACATGTGGTGCCTTTGATTAACATACTAGACTTGTTTGTGTAACAGGATCTCGGGGTGAGGAAAGAATACCGAAAACTAAATCAGAGTATTGAAGGGGGGTAGAAAAATGTTTTAATTTAGGGCAGCACATGTAAGTCATTGAGTCGTACTAATGCAAAACACATACAGAGTTGTCTTGTTTTGTATTATAGGTTGTAACCAACAGTTTTAGAAGAGTTGATAAGATAAGATAAACATTACAAATTGTTTTTATGAATAGAATATGTATTATGTAAGATCAATTTGATGTCTTTATTAGTATCTGGCATGGACTCAATAATCACATGCATTACCGCATAGATGCATTTTGATGACATCTGCTTGCCAAACCTGCAGATCTACTTGTGTTTTCATCACATGTTGAACACCACATTTGTCTGACCTGCTTGGTAACAAGGATCAGAAAAAAACTTTTTAATTTAACCACAAAATAACTTATACAGAGAGAGAGGGATCAGGCAACAGCCCAGCCTAATGTGAGAGATGGTTTTGGCAAATGGAGTCTCCCAGTCTTTGTTCACTGTTCCTTAGCTGGGAGTGGTTACTGATAAAGTTGTTGTTTTTTTTCTTTCAGACATTGCTGGCATTCAGGGGGAGGTTATGTGTGTGTCTCAATAATCAGTGTACACTATGGTTTTAATCTTCCAGCACTGCCTGTTGTTTCTTTGCAAGGGTTTAAGAGTGGAGGATGAGCTGTTATTTAACTACACATTAGCCAGTGGGTACTACTGTAGGTGATGGCCTTTATCTCACAACATTAGGGTATTATTTTTATATTTTCTTTTGTGTCCATTTGTGACTTTATAGTGTCAATGTTAAAGTAGGATTATCATTAATATTATGATAATATAGTATTGTTGAGACTTTTTCTTTATTAGGCTATAGAAAGCCTTCCACTCTCTTTAAGATCACACATACACATTTACATACAACAGCATGAAGTATATGGGTTTATCAAGAGTGAAAAATCGAACTGGATATAAAATGGATTTACTCTGGGTATTTTTTTCACGATATATAGGAAATAGGAACAACCTGAAATTTCTTATGACTCAACCAAGCAGCTTCTGCAAAAAAACCCTCATGTATCTGTGAAAAGTTTGAGGCACCCCTCCCCCATCTCCACATGGTAGCTGATGCATGACGTGAGAGCGTGGAAGAAGAAGCAGAAGAAGCAGAAGAAGAAGAAGGGCTACACTTTTAGGTAGGCTTAGTGCAGCATTACATATCAAACGGTGTTATGTAGTCCGTGGCTCTAAAACATTACACTAACCAGCTCTGTTGCAGTTTACAGATTATTAAAGAAGCTTTAGAGATAATATCAACAGGCTAGCCCAAGGCCAGTAAACTAAACGGGAGGGAAAACACTATATTAGACATCACTGTATACAAATGGAAGTGTAACCTGGGTGATATAAAACACAAAAGGAGCCCACATGACAGTGTTTGACCGAGACTGGCATACCTGTTCAGACAAGTGGTGAGTAGCTGGGATTCAAAAGGATGTCATTTAAAATACATTAGACAGATTCACTAAAGCAACGCACGTTTTTACAGGCGTGTTTTAGTTAAGATTATGTGCACTAATCCTTTTCTGTTACTCACGACCACGTGACTGCCCTATGGGTTTTGGGGGATGGCGTGCACGCGCCCCATCTTCCCCCTCGAGAATCGTTGAGAGAGAGAGAGTGTGTGTGAGAACGCGCGCGCGTGAGGATTCAACAGCTGCACAGTGAGGATTCGCCAAGTTGAACAAATATGATTCACATTCAAACAATTGAATAGGTGAGCTGTCCACCAGCAACGCGTTGTGAAATGAAGAAGCCAAGCACACAAACAGCTTAGCTCACTGACTTCAGTCGCTCGTAGTATCAGTATCATTATTAATCCGGAAATTCACAGTTGGTAGGTATTGTTTGGTGAGTTTCTACAGTTTGGTCGAAGTCGAGACAACAGAAAGTGTAGTTTTGGCTAACGTTAATGTCGTTAGAATGCGAATGAACCGAGTTGAAGTTCGTGGCTTAACGTAATTTGGCGACGTTAGCGTGTCGTTAAGTAACTCATCTAGGTTAAGTTGAATAACTGGCATTTAAACAAATCAATAAGCAACAGCGTAAGTACACACGGTATGGTTGATGTTGATTTGCACCACAATTGTTGTCATGAAAATAACGTTATCGCTGTCGGAACGTGCGGGTAGTTCAGTTAATGCTAGCTAAACGAAGCTTTTTATGAATTGAAGCGTTACCAATTAGACTTGATGCCAGCAACAGTAACTTGATTGATATTGATCTGTATCGCCCAGAACCTAATTCCTTGTCTACTGCTTATTATGCACACATAGAAATGTAATAACTACTCCGTTAAATTTACGAATGACTTTGATGAAGTTATCGTGAAGTTACTTTGTAAACTCTGTACTGGTACTTTGAGCATCCCCTCGCGAGTAAATTAGGTTAATGGTCTTCATGAGGGCTGTGCTTGCGTGAATAACAAGGTGGCTAACGCTGCCTCACACAAAGCGTGTGTGTGCTTTTAAGATAACCCACACTGTCATTATCGATAGTTGCCTGTGCTCACCTGGATTGTGTCCTAATGACACACAGGCAAGGTAATTTCAGCCAGAAAAATAATAAATAGTAAATTTGGTACCGGGCTATGAAAGGTTATATTACCGAGGAGAATAGGGTTCAATTACAGGAATTACCAGAAACTTGCAGTTGGGATTTTCACCTTATCAACTACATTGCCTAGTTGTAACACTATATTGTTAACACAATTTCGATTGGGGGAAATTAAAATTGAATAATGTATAGATGCTATAATGGGCTGCTATATGCTATGTTCACAAAAAAACTGTCATAGTCTTCATTTGCCGTCTTTGGACTTGCTGGTCCAGTGACTCCACTCTTCAGCCAATCAAAGTAATAGTGTGGTTTTGAATTCCCTAATCTTTTTCTTTCTATACATAGTATACAAGTTCATTATACATACTGAAACACCTGTTGAAACACTTGCCAGGAAGTAGTCCCAGTGGTCACAAAACAAAAGGAAAAGAGAAAATTGCACACGTGAATGTGCAACATGTGAGTCAGCCAGGCTGACAAGAATTGTAGGATAGGGTAACATAACTTTTTCTTAAACAAAAGCTTTTGATTTTCTGTCTGTTATTTAATCCTGTTAAATTCCATTCAAACCAAGTATCATAGATAATACTTTTTTTTTTTAAATTTTGGTTGTGGCCCATAAACAAACAGCTGTAAAACAAGAAGCTACAAGTATTGTATAAGAAAAAATGCCAGATACTACAATAATGGCTTAACATATTAGTCTGTATTACTCTTTGATTACTGTTTTCATTCAACTGCAATGTACTGTATTCTGCTATAACCATTTACTCTTAATTTGAAGTACTGTATTTTAAAAAATCTTTGTTTTTAACAAAACAAAATATGAATAGGAATGTCAGTATTAACCTAAACATTGATATTAACCATTTTAAAGTAGTATGATTGTTAAAGTTTAGTTGACTGCTCACATGCTAAAGGTTATATAGATACTAAGAATAAAAAAATAATGCTTGTGAGCAGGAAAAACATTGTTTTCATACTTTTTATCAGTGGCCTGCATATAGAGGAAATGACTTGTCTGTGCAGTTGATTGCTAAAAAGATACATTTCCTGTGTCAGTGAGGGAAGGCAATTCTCTCTCAGTGGTGTGTTTTAAACAGATTTTATCTTAAATTAGGTAGTAGCTACCTGATTCTATTTTTAAAATGGAGCAAAACCTTAAGATACTTATCCCATTTTTTTCCCCAGGTTCCTAATAGTCTGGACATTGTATATAGCATTGTTGCTCCACCTTCAGAAGACAATGCCAACTCACTCGTTGCTGCCGTTTGTGGAGAGCCCAGATGGACTTGCCCAAGACATTCTGATTAGTAACAATGCAAGCATCCCAGGGCCTGGCTCCAGCATGACGCCACACACCACCAACTCAGAAAAGGCTGTGTTGCAATCTGGAGGAAGTGCACCGCTATCTTGTATGTTCTGTGATCAGACTTTTACTCATCAGGATGAACTAGGACCTCACGTATTAACACAGCACCCCACCACTTTCTTTGAACCCGCTGTGCTTCGAGTTGAAGCAGAATTCAGGATCCCGGGAGAGAGACCCCATCCCAAACCAAGCAGCCTCCCTGTTGAAAAAGAGGAGGTTCACAGCTGTATTGTGTGTGGCCAAGTATCACAAGATGCCAGTGAGCTGGAGACCCATATGAGGAAGCACAAGGACTACTTTACTTTCTGCTGCAATGTCTGTGGACGACGGTTTAGAGAGCCATGGTTCCTCAAAAACCACATGAAGATGCATGTAAAACCAGGGGCAAAGAGCAAGACCCAGCAAGACCTGGAGACCCCAGTCACAGTCAATGGCATCGTCCAAGACCCTATTTCGGAGCCTGTAGCCACTGTTTACAAAATGTGCATGGTTTGTGGGTTTTTCTTCCCTGACCATGAGAGTTTGGTTGAACATAGTAAAGTACATAATAGAGAGGTGGAGCATGGGAAAGGTAAAGACAAGGAGAACATGGATGCCACTACTGAATCCCTTGCAAAACAAGAAACATTTCTCCACAGTCTAAACCTTCTGCCTTGCTCTGCAGGAAATAGTTTGCAACATGAGAGATCATCAAAATGGATTCCCCAGTTAGATCCCTTCAACACCTATCAGGCCTGGCAGCTTGCTACAAAGGGCAAGATAGCAGTTGGTCCTAATAATACTAAAGATATTGGCCAGGAAGCCAGCACAGACAATGAAGACTGCAACTCTGATAAGGAGGAGTTGAATAATATTTGGTCTGAAGGCCAAGGAGACAAGGCTGTGAAAGAGGTCCTTGGGCGAGAGCTCCGGTCTCAGCAGCAGACTGTAGCAGAAAACCCAGGACCACAGCGGAGGTCTCTAATGCAAAAAGATAAGGACAAAGAAAGACCAACCACTTGTGAGGAATGCCACAGAACCTTCAGGACATACCACCAGTTAGTTCTTCACTCCAGGGTGCACAAGCGTGAGAGAGGTGGTGAGGAGAGCCCAACTTCTTCTCTGGATGGGAAGTTGTCAAGAGTAAGCCCACTGGAGCACGCAGAGGAAGGCTCTGAGGAGGGCTACGAGGAGGCAGCACTGACAGAAAACCTTGGTGCAGGTAAATTTAGGGATAATTTCAAACTCATGTTTGACTCATACTGTCTTGATTGTGATATAGGAATGTTTTATTGTTTTATTTAATGAACTCTGATACAAACTGCTCCCTCTGCTGGTAAGGATTGAGAACACATCTTGTGTGATTTTATTCTGTCATCTTCCTTTTTATGTATTAATTTTATGTATTTGTGTCTATTTTTGAAGGTGAAGATGGTTTTGATCGATCAAAAGTCCGATCAAAACAATGCAGTTACTGTGGTAAATCATTCCGATCAAGCTATTACCTCACAGTTCATCTGAGGACTCACACAGGTATATTCAATACATTTGACTTGAATAATTTATGTATAAATATGAGACTTTATTTATTGTATCCAGTAGGTCTAATTGTGTGATTTGATATTCATAACTATGCTTATTTTTCACTGTTTGTTTCAGGTGAAAAACCATTCAAGTGTGCTTACTGCGACTATGCTGCAGCCCAGAAAACATCACTGAAATATCACCTGGATCGTCGTCACAAGAACAAACCATATGTTGAGATCCCCAGCAGACCCGTGCCATCAATGCCCTCTCCAAATGATGGAAAACTTGGAAATGACATTGAAAATCCTGCCCCAAATCGATCCAAACTCTGGGTTCCTGGAGCCAGATCGTGCACCAGTGGAACACCAGAGGACAGATTTGATAGTGTAGGTAGCAACCTTGGCAAACCGCTCGTTCAGATGAATGCTGAGTATGAGAAATTAATTGCTAAGTCTGCTAACTCCCCGACTGATGATGTGCTCATAAAGTGCCCTGTACCTGTTAACCTGAAGATAGAAAGGGAGGAGATAAAAGAAGAAAACTCTGAGGCCCCATTAAATCTGTCCTTAAAAGTGTCTCTCTCCATCCCTGCCAGTGCAGAACCCAGAAATGCATTAAGTCCAATTGCCTGTTCATTTTGTGCATATAAAACCATGTACCCAGAGGTTCTGATAATGCACAAAAAGCTGACTCATAAAGACAAGTCAGAGAGTACAAAAAAGAATGGATTTGCTGGCAGTTTGAAACAAAAACGTTATACAGGGTGCCCCCCTGCACTTGATGGGAAAGATGTCAGCCCACTTCCAATGATTGACAGGCGCCACCCTCGTCGAACCAAATCCCCACCCCCCCAACCTTCAAAACCACAAGAGAAGACACCTGTTAACCCACCTCCTGGTCCTAAGCGGTCCCCTATCCACGCACCCCTACACGATGTTGTCCAGGAGACCCAGCGTTACAGACAGAACATTGATTCACATCCTAGTCAGGAATCTCCCAGGTACACAGAGCTCATGAAGAAATCTAACACAGGCAGCAAGTTTGTAATGGACCGACCAGGCCCCCCAGACAGAGTTGGAATTGGAGAGAGGGGTTACCCAGCACGAAGTGGTGTCATTTGGCACTCAGAAGCTGCCAGGCTGTGCCTGTCAAGCCGATTTGGGAGCCTCCCCCAGATGGACTTTGGTGAACCCTCTAGCAAGAGACTGAAGTACACAGTACCTACAGGCAGGGAAGCTGACATCGGTGAGAAGCCTGGCTTTAGAGGACCAGCAGGGGATGGATCCAGCAGGATGATTATCTCAGGGAGAAGTGTGAAAACCACATCTCAAGGGTCAGGTCCATCCACAGTTCCTGAGATGTTGGGTCCTGTAAAAAATACAACCACAGCTATTGGAGGAGGGTTGGACACTGAGTGGAGCATGATGAACCTTCTGCGGCCATACACAACCAATGACCTGGCATCTCTCTATCACAGCACACCAGCTAACCCCAGTCACGGAGGATTGTCTAACCCAAGAGCAGGTATGTATTAGGTTAGCTGCTTCAGGGGAGATGCATACAGTGGTAGGATTTTAAAAAAAAAATAAAATAGGCTATTTTACAATCTGCATATTCTAGGAGTTTGTAGAGTTAACATAAAAGATTTTTTTCTCAGGGGGCAGAACTGTGCTGTACCAACACTTACCCACTCTGCCCAACCTGCAGAGGAGAGACCTCTCAGGGCCATTTCCTAATCAACGCTATGGGGCTACTGACAAAAGTACCTAAAGTGCACCAAGGTAAAATGTTGAAAAATAATATGAAATGCATACAGCTGGGCTTCCTTTTTTGGATTTTCAAACTCTGACAAAAATCTTTGAAAAGTTTTACCCTGTTCTTGATATAAATGAATCAAGTCATATGTGAAATGCATTTTTTCCCTCTCTCTAGATTGAACTGTGCTGCTACCTTATTTTGGAAATTTGTTCAATGTACAGATTTAAGAGGAGAGATGGTTTGTGCTCAGAAAGTGTCTAGGCTCCCCTAATTTAATATTTTTTCAATAGAAGAAAATTTATGTTGCGTAGACATTTCAGGGCTCAGGCTTTCAGTGTATATTTTTTTCTTTTTTGAATGAAAAAGTGCAGGATATCTCTCTTTGAAGACATGATTCCACTAGTGTGCACTGTGATGTTTGTTTCCACTCAAAACTGTTGCTTAGTCCATATTTGACCCACACTAATATTCAGATACCTGTAAGTGTCTATGACATAACAGTAAAATTTGTAAGTGGGTTGACATAAATATATCTGTAAGCTTTCAGTACATAAAAATTGTATTAAGTAAAAACCTAAGAAGAATAATTTGTGTGAAGAATTGCTGCTAGGTTCACTTATTGTTGATGTCCGAGCAGTAATTAAGCACTATTCAGTTTTTTTGTTTGTTTTCCTTTTCCAAAGCACTGGAGGGTGGGGATTTTCTGTCGAATAACTTGATGGCTTCGGCCCAGTGGTTTACAAAAAGGCCACAGTAACAAGTCCTTTGTTTGTTGAAGTGGTCTACCTCATGTTGTGCTCCAGACACTGTTATTCTTGTTAAGCTGCTGTAGCTATCATATCAGCTGAACCTCTGTCTAGTTGTCTATTGACTAGAGACATGTTTTGAGTATAACTAGATGGACCTGTGTTTGTTGGGCATCACAGTATTTGTCAAACACATAAAACACAAGCTCCTCTGGTGACAAAAAGCAGCTACTACTGAGGCCACATCGACCGATGGCACATGATTAACTGTAACACAATTTGGGTTGTGGATTTCTCTGATATACTTGGTATTTACAATCCCAGTTTTAAACACAGAACAGATTTCGTGGTTAATGTTTATCCTTTTCAAACGGCAAAGGGCTATCATCTGCTTGAGTGGTGCCTAAAGTCCATAAGCTGTAAAATATACCAAATTTCAAGGAGTTCTGTTTGTGTGTTAAATAGTCATGCTGTATTTTTTTTAGGCTGCATATTTAGTCGCTGTTCAGGAGCTTGCTTTTACTATGCAGTCTTGAAAGGGGTGTTTTGTTTCAAGTGACAGCAGTCGGTCCCGGCTGATCATCAAGTGGCCTTTTAGATGTTGTATTACTGTGTGGTTTGGGAAAAAAAAAAACAAAAGCAGCTATGTTGGTTAATGGCTCAATTAATTATACACTGTGAACAAAAAAAGTCTCAGGTTAACTCATATTTACAAGCAGTTTAGTCTACTGTTTAATTTAGTATTTTGCCACTTTGAAAGGCTTTGGTTAAGTTATTTGTTTTTGTTTGGTATTCACATTACATGTGTACTTATGTAAAAATTAAAATATTGTTTGAGATTTGTATGACACATTTGAATAATAAAGTGAGATGCGAAGCGCTCTTTGGCGTTATTTGTTACTTCACTGACAGGCTCCTTGGTCACCCACATTCCTCGTGACTTCTCTGGGCACAGTTGGATGTCACAGAAAAACAGGTTTAGCTGTAGTTTTAGGGCCTTACCTGCACTTAATGAGGCAGTAATTGTTAGTGTTTGGTATGACAAACTTGTCTTTAATTTTGACATTTGCAGGTCACATATACCTGTAGCTGAAATATTTGTTGTCAAACAACTCAGCCATTTTATGGTGTTGTATCATACCTCTCTATAGACTACAGAGTAATATTCAAAGTGGGTTAGAGCAAATTATGTGCTGAGACCAAGAGTTAGTTCAAAATGACGCATAATACCCTGGTTTCTTCAACTTGGTCCAACGGGACACCCTGCGATGACAGATTGGAGAGTGACTTGGATACAGTCAATACTAGATTGTTTATACATATCCAATCTTCCAACTTTTACATCTCTTCAAGTTTTCAGCTATATCATCAGTGGCCTGTAATATACTTGCTGTTGCGGTAACAATTTCAGACTAATACTCTCCCAGTATCTTCAGTCCTAACAGGAAACGATTTAGGCCACAGGTATCATCTACATACAGTATATATCTCCATTACAACATGAACAAAAAGAAACTCCTTCACACAAAGAGAGTGTTATAATAATTGGCATGAGATTTTATCATTGGTTAAAAACGTGAATGGACATTGGACTGAAGGGTATGTGGCATATATTTGCTGTCCCTATCAATGTTTCAGATTGACCACTAGAGGGCAGTATTTACAAGGTCTAGATTACAGGTTTGTTAGATGCAGGTTTCAGAGCCTTGAAAGCTCAGTCTGAAAAGCAGATCTACAGTGTGTATGTGGTGCAGTAAGCTTTGATAAAACTGCATTGTGGCCAGGTTGAAATTGGAATTATAAAACTAAAGTGAAAACTAAAGTAGCATTTATTAGCCTCAATACTGATATAGATCTTAAAATAAACAATCATCTTCACTTTAAAAAATACCCCCCACCCCCCACCCCAGCTCAGGATTAAAACATGGTGCTGTACTGATCTTTTGAGTTCAGTAATAAGACACACTTGTGACCACACCCTAATTGGTGATGTCATACAGGTGTTGCCATTCAGCTGTGAAAGCCAACACACCTGCTGTGACGTCACTCATTATGATAGAAAGTTTCAAACAGAGCAGAGCAGCAGCAGTTTCTCTTTTTGTCATTCAGCAAGCATGTAGACCTAAAAAAACACACACAAAGTCTCCTTAGAGAAGTTTGGGAATCGCTTCTACATCTGCAAGACATGAGCACACTATTGTTGACTCTCCTCATTTCTATAAAAGGAGAAGACTGACAAAGCCTATCATAGCTGTGCATTCTGTAAACAATAAATTGCAAGGGACAATCTTCAGCACATTGAACACTTTAAACTTTGATTTTTTTTTCTTCTTCCCTCCTCCCTTTTTGAGTAGACCACATCTGTTTGCTGTCTGTTCCCCTGGGCCAGCACTGTGTAATCTATTGCATTAGCTCACATTAGTGCATATCGCCCATGGGCCTTGGTAATCACAAACGCAAAATGAGCATTTCACTTAGCATCACCCTCATATTCCCCCCACACTGTGGCAAACTTAGTGCAAACGCATGGCAGAGAGCGCAAGTCGAGAACAGCTTATGACATGCGTCCTGTTACTCTCTATCCCCCATGTCCAGAATGCTGTGAGGGTTTTCATGTCAAAAGCCCCTTTTATGGGCAAAGATTGAATTTTCCCTGTTTACTTCCTTTTGTACATGTTTTTTAAGTGTAATTTGTGCATTTCTGCCAGAATTTAGTCCTTACCTTTACTTGCATTTGTAAACCTTGCAGACGAATGGTAATGCGGGCCTTCCTTTCATTAAAGCGTCATCTCTGGGCCTTCCAATGGCCTGGAAACATAAAATAATTTTAGATTAATACAGTAATATCATAGAAGTTAATTTATAGATTCATTACATGGAGTTTCTCTCAAATATTTTCTTTATTTACAAGTTACAGAAAACAGATTTTATTGATCCTATTAGAACTTTATTAATTTCTTAATTTTTATTTTTTTTACCACATCTTAAATATTTATCCCTCAATACCACGCCTCATTGCCAACTATGCAAGTTTCATGCAAATTCACATGGTATTTTTTTTTCTCTCAAAATGCTTTGGCACAAAACACCTGAGGTCTTCACAGCTCCTTATCAAGTTTCTTTCATCACATTAGGTTTTGTGTGTTGATAAGGATTCACACTGTAGCCATTTTAACGCACAATTCAATACACAAATGGCATTTCATGCTTGCATTGCTATCCACTCACCTGTTTAGTGTGTGTGGTTTTAGAAGAGGTTATGTTGTTTAAGAGTTGTGAATATATTCAACTGTGGCCAAGGATGTGTTTGTTCCACTCTCTTTCTCTCTTGTAATGTGAATATCAAATCTCCTACCTCCCTCCTTCCTTGTGAAATAAACTTAGTGTTTTTCTCCTTCCCCTTAAGTGCTCTCTCCTCTTATTTTCAGTCCTTTCGTCAGTCATAATTGTTGCCTCCAGATTGTCAACTTGCATGAATTAGCAATTGGGCCAACAAAGCGGATACGGTCAATTGTTGAATATCCTGTCACAATTTGAGGCAGAAAGTCTGCTCTGGCTGTGATTGCTCATCATCATCACCCCATTCCTCTGAGGAAGAGGAGCAATGTAATGTTTCCCACAAAACAGCCCCTGGCCTAAGGAAAGGGATTTGGGTGTCTGGAGACAACAGGGGCCATATGGAGCAGGCTGAGATAGCAAGGCACATGTACAGAATAATGGATGACGTGTCATGTTTCATGTTGCCGAGAAGCCATCAAGAGATTTGGTTTGGGGAAATCAAAAGGCTCACATACAGCAAAAGCGACTGTGGGCCATTTAGCATTTTTTTTGTTTATTTTTATGGTGGGAGAGTGCTGAACATATATATGTAAATATAGCCTTGAAGGATTTGTTGCTCTATTTTCAGTGCCTTTGGTCAATTGAGGTTATGTGTAAGTAAACACAATGAGGATTCTGGCTGGCTACTAAATATAAGCCTTATACTGTATGTGATATCACAGCAGATGCTCTATTAGTAAAGTGAACCAAACACCGGTTTATTGAAACTAAGACATATCTGATCTAAAGGAATAATGAAGGAAATAGTAGACAATAGGAAACAATGTACAAAGACTTATTTCAAGATATGGGCAACAATAGTATTCTACTTCTCTATTCTAATCTTTTTTCAGCACTACTGGATGGCAGTGCTGGTAGGTGGAGTACTTTGGCCCAGATAGAAATATTACAACAACTATTAGATGAATTGACATGACATTTTTTATGGACATTGTTGATGGCCTAACTTTTTCTTTAGCACCACCAAATACCTACAAAATTAATGACATTCCTGTCTCCCTCAGTTCTACTTTCTGTTGCATGTGCACAAATTAGCAAATGTTAGCAGGCTAACACAGTAAACTAGGATGGTCAGCATGGTTAACATTACCACTAAACATCAGCATGTTAGCAATGTCATTGAGAGCATGTTAGCATGTTGATGTCAGCATTTAGCTCAGAGCATCAGTACAGTACACACAGTAACCAAATAGGCTACATAATGACTTTCCCATCGGTCTCAGCTCTACTTTGTTTTTAGTACAAATTAGCAAATGTTATCATGCTAACACAGTAAACTAAGTTGGTGAACATGGTAAACATTACTGCTAAACATACGCATTTTTGCATCGTCATTGTGAGTATGTTAGCATGCTGATGTTAACGTTTAGCTCATAGCACCAGTACAGTACATGCAGTGACCAAATATTTTGTGTTTTGTACAAATTAGCAAACCTTAGCATGCTAACGCAGTAAACTAAGATGTGAACATGTTTAACTTTACTGCTAAACATCAGCATATTAGTATTGTCATTTTGAGTATGTTAGCATGCTGATGTTAGCATTTAGCTCAGAGCATCAGTACAGTACATACATTAACCAAATACCTGTAAAATGAATGACAGTCCCATAGGCCTCAGCTCTATTTTGTGTTTGGCATAAATAAGCAAATGTTAACATGCTAACACAGTAGCTAATCTAAGATGGTGAACATGGTTAACATTACTGCTAAACATGCTGATACCTTAAGTGCTGTTTCTGTTAGGGTTTAGCTCAGAGTAAAAATACAGTAGCCTATATACAGTAACCAAATACCTACAACATTAATGACATTCCCATAGGCCTCAGCTCTCCTTTGTGTTTAGTACAAATTAGTGAATATTAGCATGCTAACACAGTAAACTAGGATGATGAACATTACTGTTAAACATCAGCTTGTTAGCATCATGAGCATGTTAGCATGCTGATGTTAGCGTTTAGCTCAGAGCACCAGTACAGTACATACTGTAATGCGACATAAATGTACTGTATATCCAAAAATATCAATATCAGGGATTCAGGAGAAAGGAGATGTATAAAAGAAGTCATCCACTGGTGTGGTGGATATAAAAATTCCTCTGTCCAGAGCGCTCCTGCCAGGGGGGCACTGTATACTTAGTCCCTCCCTCCCCCCTCCCTATCTGTTCTACCTGCATGTGGAATAAGCCGAGCACCTCACCTCTGTTTTTCTCCCAGTGTCAGAACTACACTTAAGTGCTGTTTCCGATACCCATGAGTAAGCCCCATAAAAGCTGCCCCATCGCCGCAGCGTTATTGTTTCTTGCGGATGATTGATTGATGGATGAGGGCTGACACTTCAATGAAGCCATTTCCACTGGCATCTCTATCCGATGATGTGCAGCGTATATTTTCCATCCACGCCTCATTGCTCGCCTGTGTCATTCCTGGAACTTCATTTACACCATGTTCCCTGAAGGACCTTTTTTAGCCCCATCTCCCTTTTTCTCTCCCTGGCTCCTCTTTTTATCTCCTCTTTTTTCCATGCCATAAAATAA